AAGTTAAGGCCAAATGTGACCTCCGCTCTTCCCCCATAACCTATTTAAGGGTGCTTGCCTACAGGTTACATACGGATGTAGATTAAACAGAAGCAACAATAAATCAGACACATCACAGAAAGTTAGATCCCAAAGTCACAAGTTCCCACTAACTTGAATATAATGATGCCCCTTTCTGCTTTGGCTAAATATCAATCAAGTGATTTCTGAATTTGGGCAATGAATCACTCACTACATAAACAAGGTGTCTGACAATTGGCAGCATTTGAGACTGGCAGTAGCTTATGAGAAACAGCACTGATAAGAAGATTTAAGAGGCTGCTCTCAGACAGTAAGTAAATAAAGGTCTAAAGCAACCTTCTCCAACCTCGTGGCACCAGGTTGCAACTCCCATCAGTCCCAGCCATCTGATAGGAATTGTAGTTTAAACCACCTGGCTGATCCAAAAGGAAACCACTCTCTTTGCCACAATTGGTAACTGTATTCCACATCTTTAGCCAGCCTTTCTTCTCCTAGGAACTCAGATAAATGTTACATGGAATTAACCTGCTGCATCCTCCCATGAACCCCAGGCAGTTCATGCCTTGCTTAGTGGGAATTTGAAATCTGGTCTTCTTAGTCTGTCCAGTGTGCTTTTTAAACTTCTACATTGGCTCCCCAGACAGATTCTGATAATGGAGACAAGAAGAGCAATAGGGACTTTAGTTGTTGTATGTCCTTTCCCTTGGCAAGCGGGTGGTGGTGTGGTCTAAACCACTGAGCCTCTTGGGCTTGCTGATTGGAAGGTCAACGGTTCTAATCCACACAATGTGGCGAGCTTCCATTGCTCTGTCCTAGCTCCTAGCAGTTCAAAAGCACATCAGTGCAAGTAGTTACTAGGTGTGCTGCTGCAAAAAGATAAACGGCATTTCCGTGTGCTGTGGCACTCGTCACGGTGTCCCATTGCACCAGAAGCAGGTTAGTCCTGCTGGCCACATGACTCGGAAAGCTGTTTGTGGACAAACACCAACTCCAGTGGCCTGAAAGCAAGATGAGCACCACACTCCATAGTCACCTTTGACTGGACTTAACTATCCAGGGGTCCTTTACCTTTACCTTTACCTATGTCCTTTCCAATTATTAACCCTTTAGAACAGATCAGTGTGGGAATAACAGACCGTCCTCCCTATTTTGAGATGTAAGTTTCTTCAGTCATCCAACTGGAGGCAAACATGCATGGAAGTTGGACCCAGGAACACAGATGATCAATGACAGCATTGATCACCGGTCTGAGAGTGGAAGGAGGTTAGATTTATCCCTCCACCCCAGCTAATTGGTGCTATTTGAATTTATTTAAATTGAGCTATTTGCACATAGCTGTAGCTGATCTGGAGAATACTCAAAGGTTGCTTGTCTGTGAACAGCTTCTACCTAATATTGAAGTTTACAGGCTAAAACTCCAATCCTGTCCCCACCTGCTTGCGAGAAACCTCACTGATTCCAATAGGAGCAACCATGGTTAGGATTGTGCTGTTAGGTATACCTACTTCGCAGCACACCAGGCTAGATCTCATAAATCTACTTGTGTGTAGTAAGTTTTGAACTTTTTGTGGGGAAATGACTGGGAGGTGGGATATTTTGTGGAGCTAACTGTACCTAAATGTACATACTTCATATTAAGTCCCAGATTATTATTATTGTTTAAATAAAGAAGTAGGTTTCTTTATTTGAGACAGAACAAACTAGTCAACAGTACTCTAAAGCTCGACTCTAGAAGTTCTTTTGCATGCTATACATTTCACTATCATGGGAATTTTTCAAATACAAAATAACCTTTTTCATTTGTAGATGGATGTTTTTGGCAGCCTAATCTTTTGATTCACACATGGGGTTCCATCAGATGCTGGAATTTATGTGCTATTTACAAGTCTTCCTAAAAGAAACATAGGGTTATTAAAGGCTTTTTAAATGGGCCCAGTTAACTGCAGTAGCCGTAGTCGTATTTTTCCACTCTCAATGACCTTTGATTTAAACATTAGATTGAACCATAAGAGTTTAATCATGTATGAAAATCACTGTAGAGCGTAATCATTTTAGAAAATTACATAATTTAAGATTATGAGCTGAAGGAGAAAGAAGTCTGGAAACATATTGGATATACCTGTATTCCATCTTTCCTACAACAACTTCAAAGTTCCTAAGTTCCTTTTTATGCTCACACCAACCCTATGAGGTAGGGTAGACTGAGCAATAGTGACTGGTCCTGTAAGCTTCATGAATAAAAGGATACACGAATCCAGGTCTCCATTTTAGACTTACTTCCCTAAATATAAAATAAAAAGGTGAGGTTGCTAATGATTTGTGATTTCTGTGAGGGCACATCAAACCTTTGAGTCTATTGGGATAAAGCTCATTCGATTTTACTTATATCAGCTGCAGATGGGACAATTATTGTGATTAATGTCATTTACAAGTTTGAAACTCTTCAGAGACATTCCCCACAACTCTTCATATATGAGGGGTGTGTGTAAAAAAATATTATCTTTTAGTTAGTGATGGGGGAATCTAATTTTGTTTATCAAATACCGGAGGGTATCGAGTGTACTGAGTCATTTACTTTGTTGGAGATGGATTACTGTTTGCATGTGCTGGCATGAAAACCAGGTTCATAGAGTAAGCTCTGGTGAGCCTCAGCTCTTAAGTGAACCATGCTTAGGATAATGTTCAAGAGGGCACACAAGTCAAAGACAGCTTTCCCTATTTAGTGGCATGAGACTCCCCAGGGCTTTTAGATGTGAAAGGGGGCAATGTTTGAAATCCTATCTGTTTCATATTAACTTACATGCTGACTGGTGAATGTCACAAGGGAAGACCTGGGAAGGCCTAAGTAAGATAATTAGAAAGAAATCCAGGGCATGTGGGAATAATGAGACCAATGTGAGGGCACAGAAGAAGCTAGCAAATGTAATTTGAAATTTAGAACTCAAGTAGAATGATAGAGAATTTCTTTCTGCCTGATCATCATATCATAATACATACATTTCTTGTCAGTTTTTGAGATGCCTCTAAGATTCTTTAGCAGGTTAAAGAATCACTTAGAAATTGGTCTGATAGAAATAGATAATTTCCTGCCCTAAGTGCTTTTCAAACTACACTCATCTTTTAAACTACACTCATCTTTTAAAAAAGTAAAATAATAGATGAAACATAACACATTTGGAAATAGTGGTGGTGGGGAGTGTCACTTGAATTTCAGAAATATTCAGCCTTCATTTTTTCAAAAAAAGGGGATTTCTTTTCTCAGTTATATTACTATTCCACACATAACTGCGAACTCAGTCATCTGGTATGTGTATCTCTAAATAAGCCGGTTATTTTTAACTCTCTAATTTTTAAAAAAACATTAAAGCTCTTTCTCACCCTTTCTGATAGATGCCTTTTTATTAGTACCCTAGCAAATCCAAGAAGCTTTGTATTGTAAAGTTGTTGTTCACATGCAACTTAAGCATTAAGAGTGGTATTTAGTATTTAGTCTACAAGTTGCTTGATCAGGGAATGAGGTATTCTGAAACACTAATTTTTGGAGGAATTAATTTTGCTAACTGCTTTCCACTATGACTCCTAACAATCTTCCACCATGGACAGGCTGCTGTCAGTCTGGTAGAGCTGACCAAAACCAGCAATCTAAACAAAATGCATAGAAGTCAAGCATGGGCAGTGTCCAGATGGTTAAGTCTGGGTAGTAGAGTCTTGAAAGATCCATGAAGACGGAGCATTTCAGGAAAATAAGTTTTATTGACAAACATATAGCAAGGTTGGAGGTAAATGGCTAACTATGAATGGCATCCCAGAGAGAGAGAGAGAGAGAGAGAGAGAGAGAGAAAGAAAGAAAGAAAGAAAGAAAGAAAGAAAGAAAGAAAGAAAGAAAGAGGTAGCAGAAGGAAAGGTGGCATGTCTGCATGGTGAAGAGGTGGAGGGAGGGAGAAATTGCAGTGGGATTTAGAGAAAGCAGGAAATAGATTTAGGGGAAAGAGGAAAAGGGCACTGTTACCCATGGGGGCGGGGCACAGGGATGGTTGCCCCAGGTGCATAATTGTTAGAGAGCTGAAAAATTCAGCACCCAGTGCTGCCTCAATACAGCTGAACACTTCTGTCACTGAGCTTCATTGAAAATGGTTTCAAGCAAACCAGGAAGTGACCTCTCCAGACAACACAATGACTCTCTTTTTCTTATCTCTGCGGCTGCAGTCTCCTGGGTGATGTGGACTCTGTTATGCAGTTGAATGAGCATGTGTCCTCTGTCCCTTTCCCTCCCTCCCACCCTCCGCTCCATGCAGCCTCGGGCACTGGCAACCCACACTACGCCACTGCTGTTACCACCCCTTGCTTATGGTTCTGCCCGGGAAGCAGATAAGGCATAATTCAAGGAAGCGAAGAAGACACCGAAATTTTAAGGGATTTAGGAAGAGAGAAGTTGAAAAACTTGGGGGAATGGAATGGAGGCATCTGGAAAATCTGGAGATTCTGGGGATGAAAAGTCAGAGGAATTCTGGCATGCCAGGACAATTCTAGACCTGGGTGGAAAGAGGCAGGGCTGGTAGTTCAAAAGGGTAGTCCTGGAAGAACAATTTCAGGTACACATAAAGACAGACCATTTCCCTATGCTTGATTAATAAACGGGGACATTAGACAACAACTTCTTTTTTTGGATTTTAGAGTGGGATTTACAGTACAGTGGTACCTTGGGTTACATACACTTCAGGTTACAGACGCTTCAGGTTACAGACTCCGCTAACCCAGAAATAGTACCTTGGGTTAAGAACTTTGCTTCAGGATGAGAACAGAAATCGCGCGGCGGCAGCGTGGCAGCAGCAGGAGGCCCCATTAGCTAAAGTGGTGTCTCAGGTTAAGAACAGTTTCAGGTTGAGAACGGACCTCCGGAACGAATTAAGAACGTAACCAGAGGTACCACTGTACTTTGTGTCCACCATGTTTTCTTAGCATTCTCACAGCTAGGCAATAGGATGGTGGCTTAACAGCAGAGCATCTGCCTTGCGTGCAGGAGGTCCCAGGTTCATTCTCTGGCCTCTCCAGCTGGAGATGGGAATGTCCCCTGCCTGAAACCCTGGAAAGTCACTATTGAGCTACAGTAAATGGACCAATGATCTGACTCAGTATAAGGTAGCTTCCTATGATGCTTGATGAGAGTGGAGCTGCAGACATGTAGAGTGTTTACAGCCTGAAGAGGTCCCATGCTAGCTGCACAGTAGGTAGGGATCATTGTCTTATCTATTCATTTGGCAGAGAGAGACCATGAGCCCAGGCTCTGTTTAAGCTATCCTAACAGACAGGGATGCAGGTGGTGCTGTGGTCTAAACCACTGAGCATCTTGGGCTTGCCAATTGGAAGGTCGGCAGTTCGAATCCCCACAACAGGGTGAACTCCCATTATTCTGTCTCAGCTCCTGCCAACCTAGCAGTTCAAAAGCACACCAGTACAAGTAGATAAATAGGTACTGCTGTAGCAGGAAGGTAAACAGTTCTGTCACGGTGTCCCATTGCACCAGAAGCGGTTTAGTCATGCTGGCCACACAACCTGGAAAGCTGTCTGTGGACAAACGCCGGCTCCCTCGGCCTGAAAGCGAGATGAGCGCCACAACCCCATAGTCACCTTTGACCGGACTTAACCATCCAGGGGTCCTTTACCTTTACCAGACAAAATGGATCCCTTTGGAACCAGAAGGAAGGTATTTGATCTCCTGCCAGGAGCAAAAGGAATCCTAAACCCTTTAGTAGCTTTTTATATTGTGAGTTGGGAACCTCAGACCCCTCAGAGCCTCTTTACGTGGTCCTTGGGACTCTCCCAAGCCACACTCTTCACCAGCTCTGTTCTGCACCCTTGTTGGTTGGAATGTGTCCTTAAACTCTTATAGTGTTTGCTTGGTTGGATGGAGAGGGGTAGAAACTAGTCTACTATACACTTTTGCCTCTGGCCATGCCTGCTTCTGCCTCTGTCACTGGTATGTGGTCCCTGGAAGGTTGAGCATAAGGCAGCCTTCTCAACCTTGGGTTCTCAGATGTTGCTGGACTACAACTCCCATCATTCTTAGCTAGCAGGACCAGTGGTCAGGGATGATGGGAGTTGTAGTCCAACAACATCTGTGGACCAGAAGTTTTGAGAGAGGCTGTCATATAAGGGATTGCAACCTTTGGGCCGAGAAAGGATTCCACAACCCTGGTGTAGATCATTGTCCATTGACTGAAGAGTAAGGTTGTGGGGTTGCTGGCACTGTGTTTTCCAGTAGTTAAAGTGTCTCACTGGGAAGTTTTGAAAGATGGTGCTGGAGAACGGTTTTATTTAGTTTGTTGAACATTTATACCTTTCTGTTATGAAATCAAACTCAAGGCAGCTTGCAAATAAAAATATATAAATCACAGCACAATTAAATGCTCCTAGCAATAAAACAAAACAAACAACAGCAGGAAAACAGCATCATAAAAACCGTATCAGCAACAACAGTTGTTCCCAGGAGAAGTTCTCTTCTGTGGCCCCTAGGGTCTATTCTGTTTCTAAAGCATTTCAGCATCACATGAACTGCTGGAGGAAATCATCCGGAGCTTTGGAATGAGACACCTAGATCTTTTCCCCCCATGCTATCTGGCTCAGGCATGGTGATTTTGTGTTTGAAGTCTCTAGTGGACTAGCTGAGGATGTATAAGTCGAAACTCAATGGCGATCAGAGGGAGTTATGCATGGTGGCCAATGTCAGTTCTGGTGATGTAGTGGATATCGATCTACATGTGGTCACCACAGTATGTCAGAAGAAACAGTTATCATTGGGAAGTGCTTCTGGGTCCAGGATTCCTCCCAAATTCCTAGGATGAGCCAGTGATCAGAAACATGACCTACCAACTTCAGTTAGTACACGAAACATGCCCCTTCTTGAATACTGAAATTTGACTGCTTTAATGCATGCTCTGGTAACCCTCCTTGCTTTTTAAAATTTTCAGGACTTTATTATGAAGTCAAAATAACAATCCAGAGAGAAATACAAAGTAAAATAGGGACGTTTTTAATGACTGGTGTTTAATGTATTTTTAACCTTCTGTTGGAAGCTGTCCAGAGTGCCTGGGGAAACCCAGCCAGATGCATGGGGTAGAAATAATAAATTATTATTATTATTATTATTATTAATTAATAATAATAAATAAAGAAGAAGATGAAAACTGTGTATAAGATGACAGCAACAACAGGTTCACAGCTGTTACCTGATGAAATAAACTGCATTTTCATGAGACAATAAAACTGGCCTGATATGGGAAGAATATAGAACACATGTTCTGTATACGAAATAAAGCAACATTTCATTGGGACTTGCCATCCCTGTGATTGGCTTATCATATAAGCCAATAAATGACCATCAAATGGAGGCAAAATCCATGTTCAGCTGTTCCCCAAGATACCTTTACTTTTTAACTCTAAGTTAGAAGTTACCCTCTGATAACTGTTCATTGGTTCACCTATCCCAGTATTGCCTCCTGACTGGTAGAGACTCTCCAAACCCATTGCTTCCTGGGCTCTTTTTTTCCTTTGCTAGCAGTGCCAGGGATTGAACAAGATGTTTACACTTCCATTGAGTTGATGGCAGCTCCCCAAGAAAGCTTAGCAGAATTTTTTTTCTTATGTAGGAGATGAAATCCACAGGGCAATAAAACCCAAATTTCAAATCAGACTCTAAAAGAAATTAAAGCACTTCTTTAAAAAAATATAATTTGCTGGATGCATTTGCAACTGAAAACAACTCAGCATGGGATAATTTATCTATCATTTGGGAGCATCCGAGACTCTGCTGGGCTTGCATTTTTTTTTTATAGTCTAGTAAGAAATCTAAAGGAGTTCCATGCCAAAGGTATATGCATGCTAGTGGCAGATTAAAAGAGAATTTGTGACTTCTGATGGAGTGAAAGGGTCTGTTGACTCTGCACTTCTCATTATTTAATGACCCAGTGTCTAGAGCTTGGCTGAAACAAGGATGGGATAGCCTTAGAACTCATTGGCTTGGCTCTCTGTTATTTTTTGCTAATAAGAAGGAGATTCTGAATGAAATATCTCAAGTGAGATTTGGGAAAGAATTACATGCCTGGTCTTATTTTTTTTTTTAAGATTCCTAACTACGAATATATAGCTATGGTGCACCTCTGTATAATGATGAAATGGTTTGTGTTTCAGGGAGTTATCGGGGGGATGTCAAAGCAGAGAGACTCTAAATTTGTGTGGTCTTAGGGAGTTAAATCTTAAGAACTTAATTCTTAAGAAGTTAATTCCTAAACCATTTAAGTTGCCTAATCGGCTCCTGCCTCTCAATGCAAAATAAAAAGCTAAAGAAAGGGAGAAGATGCAAATAGAAACTTTGCAATTGATCACAAGAAGAAATGCCAAGACTGGGAGATGAAAAACTCCTCTAAGTGGCAATTGCTTAAGCTCATCCCCCCCCCCCCACCCCCGGACAATGAAAGCACCTGCTGTCTCCAAATCAAGGATCTTTTCTTTGCTGGGAAACATGTCTCCTTTCTCCCTGAGTCTATATTTATAGTCTTTCTTCTTATTGTGCCTCTCAAACTTTTCCAAATCAAATACTGACTTGACTTTCCCTCTGGGACTGAAACGGAAGGGAAATTGTATGCAAGCCATTGAATTATATTCTCCTTCAAGTGGTTTAGTTCAGATAAGATATATTTGCCTTCCCAGCAGACTCTTAACTGAAAGCAGAGCGAGCTGGAGAGAGAGAGAGAAAGGGAAGGAGGGAGGTGTGGAAAAAACAATCAGGCTGTTTTAAAGCCTGTTCGTCATGTAAGCTTTTCTGTGCTAAGTGATGAAAGAAGCATCTCTTGAGAACTCTGTTTTTCACTATGGGGGCATCCACTGGACACACCCACCAGATGCACCCACCAAACATTGCCTTGTACTAAGTCCAGTGATTGCTCCATCTACTGGAAGTGGTTAGGAAGTGTCTTTTCCAGCTCTGCAAAGCACCTTTCTCAGGCGAAATGTCTGCTTCATCACCAAACAATGGCCCCTTCACAGCCCTTTGCAGGACAGCATCTCAACAGAGAATCTTGTGAAGTGTTTCAGACTGTTTTAAGTGCAGATATTCTCCGTAATTCCAAAATGAATTGAGCCGGAATGTTTAGATTTCACATTGCTGAATTCCACCCAACTTTTAAGCAGCGTAATTTGACCCAAATACCTTAGGAGGGAACACAAACAAACTCTGGCAGTCCTGATCTCTGGGTTAGGCTACCCGGGATCCCAGAAAAAAAACAAAAACCAATCTTGAACGGGAATCACTTTGTGATGTTTGAAAGGAAAGCCCCACGCCAAAAGCATGCATGCAAGTCTCTGGCTGTCATATATTTAGGAGGAATGAAAATGACACTGCTAATTTAATTCCATTCATTGCATGCAATTTTAAAATTGCTCAGTGACTATCACAAAACTTGACGTGCCATATTTAAAATTGCCCAGGAAATAACACTTCATGTTGACCTTTTAGAAAGCAACATCACTCTGATCTGGGATGCAAACTACCCGTTTTGCTCATTCACAGCCAGCCAAGTGGAGTTGGTGGCCTTCAGTCTAGCAATTTCTTCAGCCAAAACTAACCAATCAACAAGAAAGGCCTGTTTACTCTTACATGAAGGCACATTTCTTTCTGAAAGCAGCTGTTCCTTGCCTATTGTAATGCACCAGGGGTGTGCAAAAGGTACACATAGGAAGCTGTTTATATAGAGCCAGACCATTTTCTATCTAATCCAGTAACTGTCAACACTAGGGATGGGGAACTTGTGACCCTCCAGATGTTGCTGGACTACAACTCCCATCATTGGCCATGATGACTTATAATAATAATAATAATAATAAATTTTAGTTATATCCCGCCCTCCCCAGCCAAAGCCGGGCTCAGGGCGGCTAACAACAATCAAATAATCAAACAATCAAATAATTCAACATTCTAAAACATTTCATTATAAAAATTAATTAAAATCAAATTAATGGCAACCGTTAAGCAAAGTTCTGTGCAGGTTGCCAGAGG